GGTCCCCTGGAGGAGGAGTAGGATGCCCATTCCTCACCACTCTGCGTGGGCTTGCAGAGACTTGCAACTTGCTGGCTGGGCTGTGTGTATTATTTAAAAAATAACGGCCTGACCAGCGTGATCAGAGTTCTATTCCCGGTCAGGGCACAGGATCAACCCCCATTGGGGAAGGAGGGAGGGTAAGGGAAAGGGGCATGCAGGAGGCAGCCAATCAATGATTCTCATCATTGATGTTTCTCTCTCTCCTCTCTTCCTCTCTGAAATCAATAAAAATATTTTTTTTAAAAAATAAAAACAAAAGGTGACGACGTAAACCTTTAGCTCAGTGCCTGGCACATCGTAAGCACTCAGTAAATGTTGGCTACAGGGTCCTAAGAATTTTACTGCCATTATCACATCTGACCCTTATACAGTCCAGTGAGAGAGCACTAAGATTATAAACTCCACATTACAGATGAGAAGACTGAGGCACTGCAAGGCTGAGTGACACCAGGCTGTCCACTGAGGCCTGCTGTCCACTGTGGGCTAAGACATACTGTTCAGATCCCTTGAGTAACAAAGCCTCCTCTGGCTCCCTCCTAGCAGGCATTTGTGTTTCTTAGCTTTACTTTACAGATAGCTCCAAGAAGCTGATCAAAGCAATGAGCTATCCCCTCAGAAAAACACACACATACACACCCATAATATGATCGCACACATGACAAGCCATCAATTCATGGTAAATACCCTGGGCCTTGGCTCCAGGTTTCCTTTGGAGGCATTGAGGGAATAAGGGAGCCACAGGGGCTGGACATACAGTATTTAACAGGTCAAGACTAGAATGAGACATGAAGATCTCTCTGAGGTGCAAAATTTGAGAGTGGGCCAAAAAAACTCAGTAATCAAAATAAGTAATATTTTTTTCAAAATCAAAATGAATGCAAAAATCCATAATGAGACAAAATATCAACGTTTTAAATAAAGGCAGAATCTGACCCTGGCTCACCTCACTCACATCCTAATCCCAGCCCTGATTGTACTAGGATGTGTAACTCCAACTATTGAAAAAAATCTGCATTATTAACTGGTACACCTGGCAGGACTCATCACCTGGCCCTGCCCCCTGTTCACCTGCCCACTTCCGGCTGCTCAGGTGGCCCCGCCCCCTTGTCTGGCATGATCGCCTGGCCTTGTCCCCTTTGGGAGCTGGTGGAGCCGCCTGTGACCTGGGCTGAGTTGAGGGGGAGGTGGGCTGAGGGTAGGGACCTCTGCTCCCCGTCTCTGAGCCTCAGTTTTGGCATCTAGAATATGGGCACAACAACCCAGTAGCTGGCTCCTGTCAACCCAGTTGCTCCAGGAAGCGGAGGCCCAGGCTGGACTCATGGGTGGGAAGGCCTGGGAGGTAAGGGCTGGGATGGGGGGTACCCTGCATCATCCTGTAGCTGAGGGCTTGGAGAGTCAGCGAGGAGTCCCTGAGCCACGAAGCCTGAACTTCCCACCAAACAGCCTGCCCTGGTGTGCCCACTACACTGTCATGAGCCCCCCGGGTGGTGAGAGACAGGGCCGAGGCACAGACACAGAGATGAATCTCCCTGTGAGCCCCTGCAGTGAGAGGTCTAGGGGATCTCCTGTGCCCGGGGATAGGGCTCAGATGTTCCTAGACCGGGTCAAAGCCCCAAAAGGAGGAGAAAGGTAAGGTCTATTTCCTGAAGCTGCTGCTCCAAAGACTACAGACTGCTGGAGACAAACAGGAACTGTGCTCTCCCCGTTCTGGGGCCAGAATGTGAAATCAGGGTGTCAGGGGCTGTGGTCCCTCAAAGGCTCCAGGGGAGGGTCCTTCCTGCCTATTCCCTTTCTGGGGGGCTCCTGGCCGCATCCCTTCAATCTTCCCATGGCCCCTCCTGAGTCCTCGAGTCCTCCTGAGACTTCTCCCAGGTGTACCGGTTAATAATACGGATTTTTTTCATAACTATTTACAGGTTAATAATGCAAATTCTTTCATATTTTATTTACTGGTAAGTAATGTGGATTTTTTTCATAAATATTTACCAGTTAATAATGCGGATTCTTCCATAAATATATCTTGATTTTGATGTGGATCACATGGATATATACATATGTAAAAAATTCATCAAGTTCTTTAAAACCCATTAGCTTAACTTATGAAAGTTATATCTCAATTAAAAAAATAAAAAGACAGAATGAAGAATTTTAAAAGAGAGAGAGTCCCTGGCCTCCAGGACAAGCACTGAAGTCCTCTGCTTGACAGGAGAGGACCTCAGAATGTGGCTCCAAATTCTGCAAAGCCTATTTCCAGCCACTAGGGGAAAAGGGGAAGGGCTTCACCACTCCAGGTCTTTGCACACGCTGTTCCCTCTACTAGAAATGCCCTTCCCCACCTGGCAAGCCCCTATCCACCCTTTAAGTCTCTGCCAAAAGCCGCCTCCTCGGCAAAGCCTTCAGCAATTCCATAGACTTTTAGGCAAATGTATTTCAAGATTGCTTCATCCTATTGTGTCTTAGTCAGGCTTCCATTGGAGAAATAGAATCAGTAGGAGATGCATTAACAGATTTATTGCAAGGAATTGGCGTACGCTACTTGTGGGGCCTGGATAAGCAAATCCAAAATCTGTAAGGCGACCATCAGGACAGGCAAGCTGAAAGTATAGCAACAGCTGAAGTCGTAGTTCACAGGCAGCATTTCTTATTTTCTAGGACAACCTCAGTTCTGCTCTTAAGGCCTTTTGACTGACTAAGTCAGGCCCATCTTTACTGAAAGTCAACTGCTTGTAAGCATTCATCATCCACAAAATATCTTTAGAGCAACATCTAGATTAGTGCTTGATTGAATAACCGGGATTAAAGCTTAGGAAATTGACACATCAAACTGACCACCTCCATTAATCTCCTAGGGCTATCATAACAAACTGTCACACACACTGGCTGAAAAACAACGAAAATTTATTCCTCCACAGTTCTGGAGACTAGACGTCCAAAATTAACCAGTCCTGTCAGCAAGGCCATGTTCTCTCTGAAGGCTCCAGAGGAGAATGTTCCATGACTTTCTCTTAGTGTCTGAGGTTGCTGGTAATCCTTAGCATTCCTTAGCTCGTGGGTGCTTCACTCCAATCTCTGACTCCACCGTCATATGGCATTTTTCTGGTGTGTATCTGTATTTGTGCCCCTTCTACTCTTCTTCTAAGGAAATGAGTCATATTGGATTTGGGCCTCCTCTAATGACCTTATTTTAACTAAATGACATCTGTAAAGACCCTATTTCCAAATAAGGTCGCATTCATGGGTACCAAGGACAAAGGCTTCAACACATCTTTTAGGAGGACCCAATTCAGTCCATAACACCATCATACTTGGTAACAGCATTTGGTACATTGGATTGTGTTGAAATCAACCCTGGCCTTTTGATAACAACAACAACAACAACAAAAAATATGTAATGCCAGAAGCCAATTCCAGCATGACAGCAGGGCTGAATCTGGGAATGGCTGATGGCATTTCCCCAAACCTGAATAGGATACATTAAATTGATTGTTTGCTGCCAGACGGCTCAGGGCATCTTAATCTACATGTTATTGCCTCCTACTGGCCAAACACCTGAACAGCCGTAGGCTAATTCCCCCATTCTGACAATGCCTCTGTATAGAAAACCCTACCCCTTTGAAGGGTATATCTCTGCCTAGCCTCAGGACAAATTGTGTTAATAAAAAGCATGGAGTCCTGAGACGAGGAGATCTTAGTTTCCTTTAAACTAGGCTCCTCTGACCCCCAAATGCCTTTCAAAATTATACTTCTATTTAATCTACGCACAACCTTCTCCAGATTGCTGAACCCTTCTAGATGCTGGAACAAGAACCCCAGCAATGTAAGGGACTTAAGAGTGTGAGCGGTGGTCACATTGTGTTCTCAGGGCTTGGTACAGTGCCAAACACACCGTGGGTGGTCAATTATTGGCAGGCTTTGTGTCTCACACTCACTGTTATAGGCATCTGCTTGAACTCACTAGAGAGGTACCTAATGGAGGACACAACCTGGTTAAGGGCAGAGAGAGGTTACTCCCAAAATGTAACAAACAGGAATTCTTCAGGTCTCCTAGCTGGAAGGACCTCTGTGATAATCTAATCTGTGAGTTTCAAAGTCTGCTCCCAGAAACTCCAGAGAACCAACCAGGAAAGTTCAAAAGAAGGCTTACTGGGTGGGGCTCCAGTTCTCCCAGAAACCAGAGCACTGACATGTTTATCTGCTTAATACTCTGAACTTCTTCATTATATTGAAGCACTCTCTTTCCGAATTACCAGAAAAACCGGCATCAAAACAAAGAAAGTATGTTGTCCAGGCCCACAGCAAATCTGTGACAGAACAGGAAATAGAATGGAATAAAAAGGTGTGACAGAAACTGCTGGATGTCTGCCAGTATTTATTCTGCTCTTCTTGTTAATCCTCACCGGAAGGTATGTTTCCATTGATTTTTAGAGAGAGTGGAAAGGAGGAGAAGAGACACAGAGAGAGAAACATTGATGTGAGAGAGACACATTGATTGCTTACTTCTCACACGCAGCCGTGTGGTCCAGGGACCAAGCCTGCAACCCAGGTACATGCCATTGACCGGAATCAAACCTGGGAA